GGTCGAACGAATTTTGATCTCGCGCGAATTTCAGCGAACGGTAAGCGACGAGTACGTACGTAATTAAAGCGCGCGCGCGCGCGCGCACAACACTCTCGTATAGAAAACATAAAATTCTGTAGATTTGAAATACAAAAATACAATCGACGTTGTATATTTGTTTGTTTCCGCGTTTTTCGCCCTGTTAATTAATTAACGAAAAATTCTATTATACCTCTGCTTGCGAAGATCTACAATTTCTGAGGAACTGGTCATCGGCGTGAAAATGAATCATCATCCCTCCAGTTTTTGCTGCTACAAAATGGCGACGCGTAGCAACGCGATGGCCGACGCGATGACTGTATATACGAATACGTCGTATATAGTCGTGGACATGCGGGGGAAACCATGCCGCGTCCCTTGTTATCTTGTTGCCCGTTGCATGGCTTATCAACAAAGTAAATAAACGGACCTCTCCCGTGGATCTTCTCTCTCTTCCTCCCCCTCGGATCGTATCGTTTTTCCAATACAGAAACGGAATTACGAACGTTTTGTCGGGATTTTACCGTCGTCAATAGTGACGTAGAACAAATAATATGTGGCTGCAACGATAGCTTGTATAAATATATATATATATATATATATATATATATATTGACGAGCGGTGTCATAAAATAAAAAAATAAAAAAAATTGAAATATATAAAAAAATAAAAAACAAATGCGCTTATAAAATATTTATGTATACCGAGAGAGCTTGTTTTCTTTCCGCGACAATTATTTGTTCTAATCATCTATATACTGTCGCGCACAATTAACCTAACGTGCTCTCTATCAATCGTTGTGAAGAAAATTAAGATTGCGTTTATCTCTAAAAAAGGAAACTCGACGTTCTTTCGAGGCGCCGTTAAGCTTCGTATAACGCAGAGAACTCTCTAATCTGAGAAACGTTAAAATTATACATATCTGCGGAGAGGATCGCACTAACCAATGTTCTGACCAATGAGACGCGAGGGTCCGCCCAATCGCTCCCGCTACTGCTTTCCGTCCACCGAGAAGCTGTCGGCCGCAAATTCCTCCCTCTTCTCTCTCTCTTTTTTTCTTCTATCTCTTCTTTTTGTTGTCCCCTATCCTCGTTTTGCGACGAGAGATCCCCAGAGATTTGTCGTTCCCGTCCGCATACGTAATAGACTCACTTGCTTCATCGCACAGTTTCCACCACTTTTTCTCCTTCTTCTTCGTCGTCGAACGTAGCCGCGTTTCCTTCTCGCATTGTCGCCAGTCGAAAAGCGTTGCGCTCCGGCGAAACATCTCGCCCGTAAAATCTTCTTTCGCCGGTTTCTTTCGTGAACACAATTTCGAGCGTGTGCGCGTTTATAATTCTGCGCGCTTGCACGCGCAAATTTATGTATGATTTCGCATCACGAGCGCGCGTTCGCTGTGTTTGAGATTGTGTGAGATACTTATTAGAGGCAAGAAAACGCGCACGACGACGCACGGACGAGCTTGACTAATGCGTCATCCAAAAGAGGTATCGTCAAATGTTCAGTACGATCGCGGTGTAGTGTTAGAAAAAAGTAAAAAAAAAAAAATTATGAAGAAAATATATCTGAGAGAACAAAAGATGAAGAGAGCGGCGAATTATTTCGCGTCATATTGAAAATTGGCAGTTTCAAAAAGATTTATTAGATAAAACGTTGATATTTGTATCAAAACGGTATTATGACACACATACAGACACTGATGGTATTTAATCGTAAGATAAATAAATTTTATTCGCAAAACGTTATTTATACGGATAATCGCTATTGGAACATCTGTTAAAAAAAATCAACAACAAACATTTTTTAAAATAAAGCAATCTTTCAACAAGAAATATATAACGAGCCATTCGCTGGATGTTTGTGCGGAAACTGTGCGTGTATATATATATATATATATATATAGTATATATATATATACACACATGTAACGAATTCTACTCGTAAATTTTTACAAGTGAGTGTTTTTTGAATTGAAATCTCAATTCTTAAATTCATACGGGATGCTGGATTTGCATCTCACATATGAAAGACCCCGGATACCCCTTTAACTAATTTTAAAATATTGCGAAAAATCAATCTTTCTCTGTGGCTTGTGTTATTATTTCTAATATTCTCAATTTATTTGACGATTTATTTATTTACATGGAAAAAAGCACTCGGGATACTATCCGTTAATTAGAATCTTCAAAACAAAAGTGTTTGTCCGATGATCTATTTTTAACTAATTAACGTTCCAAAGTTCATGTTCCACTCGAGTTAGAATAAAACGAGCAATTCTCTTCTCTTCTCACTTACTTCGCCGCAACTCACCTGTGATTCACTCCTGTGATTGCTTTTTGCTCCGTGATTTGACACCCGCGCGCGCGCGCACGCGGGATACAGAGATTGCGAGATCTCATATCGTCGGCGAGATACGGCGGAAGTCACGCCGAGGTCTCTGCCAAAGAGAGACGTCGCGTGCTCTCGCGCCGGAAGTCGAAACTTGACATTGCCGAGCGGAAGTGTGTGACGCAGGACAAACATCGCCTCGCATTTTTTCCCGAGACGGACGAGGTGTGTCTCCCCCGGTCCTTTCCCTCTCCTCCACCTTTATATCTCGCTTTAACCTGCCGTGTGTGTGTGTGTGTGTGTTCTCGCCCGCAAAACGATCGTCGAAACGATCTCTGTCGCGTGCCGCGCGAGGATTCCCCTAAAAGAATGACTAATCGAGTCCATAGAAACCGTTAACTTTTCGTCCTGTCGGTGTGAGGAACAATTTTATTTCATTTGTTACTTCCTTAATTAATTTCAATGCGCTTTCCAGTTAATTTAAAGTAACGTCATTAAGAGACTTTGTACAATTCAAATTAGACAATTTTTTTAAATAACCAATTGCACGGTGACTTTTGATCATAGTGTCAACAAAATCCATAGCGCATTCATTCCATCGGTCTTAAGGAGATTTTGAGATAATTGAAAGAATCATTCGGTCCTGCTACTTAGAAAGTGTTGCGCGAACCACGCTTGGAACCAGTCAACAAAATGTTAATTTGAATGTTGATGAAAAATTGTTAATGTAATATTATGCGGTAATGTGCAAAAAAAGGGATTTCGTGATTGTATCGTCGAAGCATGAGCGCTTCGCGTATGACAAATGTCAGATGCGTGTCAAATTGCGTAGCTTTCAAAACTCAAATTCTCAACTATAAATATAGTAAATATGCTGAGCGCGTTTTACGTAACTCGAATTATTAAAAATTAACAATAAGCAACAGCCCTGATAGGAAATCATTTATAAAATTATGTGACGAAATCTCGCACTAAAATTGTAATTTGCAATTATACAGACATATTTTAGGAAATAGATGTATAAAAACATTGATCTTTTCTGAAATATTTAGTAGTTGTTTGCAAAATTACTTTCCAAATACTATTTCGGCAAAAGAATAACGATATGGCGAATCATCTTGGCAGTATATTTGCAAAATTAATTTCACAAAGAAATTGTCCAATAATTGAGAAAAGAAATTCAGAATTCTATGTGATGTTTAAAATACATATGTAGAGAAATATGATTGCATATGAAGAAATGCAAGAAATCGTCGTCACTCATGATGTCATATTTGCGCAATATTTTCACAATTTGCCTATTGGAAGTATATACTGTGGAAATGCGTAACGACTTTTTCGCAATTTTTGAAAACAAATATTATTTACAAAATTTTATTTCGACAAAACTGTTGCGTTATGGCGAATCCATCTTAGTGCAATCAGTGCAAAATCGTCGCCGTTCACGATGCCATTCATTTTTGTGCAATATTTTCACAAATGTGCCTATTAGGGTAGAGAACGGTTACGAACGACGAGCGATCGCTTCTTCGAAATTGCTCGCGAAAGCAAAAGTAGTTTCCGAACGAGAGTGCTGACCTAGACACCAATCTGTTATCCGGTGAAAATCCGACTTTGCTCGTAACCGTTATCGTGTGACGATAAACATTATTCCGATGCGTTCTTCGCGTGCGGATCACGAGTTTTCGCACGTGGCCGATCTCGTTCTCAGTCATTAACATTTTATAATACGTACACGTATATATGTATGTATATATATGTTACGTTTATTGAGAAAGAAAAAAATACATCTGAAAGTTGAAAGACTCTCGCAATTATCTTTTCGATAAGTTATCCGTAATAAATATGCCGTAATTGTTGTCTATTGCAGATAAGATATTTTTTAATTATTCACAGTGTTACGGGGAGATACGTAAGTGTGTGTCAAATTAATTTAACCCTCAACGGACGGCGTGGTTTTTCGGCACCTTAATTCGCCGGACACGGGTCGTCTTGGGTTTTTTAAAAGTATTAAATATTTCTAAAAAACAATTAATAATGAGAATCATCTCGGGCTCTGATCTTTCTAAACTAATAAATGAATAGTCGTAAAGAGCCGTTCGCAGGATGTTGTGCGGATAAATGTGCGTATAAATGTAAGAATACATTTTTCTATACGCTTTCACGTGTGTAAATTATTTACGTGAATTTTTCGAATTGAAATTTCAATTCTAAAAATCACATACAATGCCAATTTTGCATTACATATTTCTAAAAAAAGTCTGAAACACAACGTGTGTATACTCTTTAAACTGTCTATTTTAAGACACCGTCATTAAATTTAGTGAAAAAAAAAGTTTTAATTCATAATTTTTAGCAAATACGACAACGAGAAACTTACTTTTTTCAAAAAGTAAATTTTGCTCCAGACGAAAACGACACGTGTCCGTCCGTTGAAGATTAAGTTCGAGTCTCAATAATTGCCGATACAGATTTAACGGAGAGATGAAAATCAAAAATGCGTTAACAGTGTACCTATAAAAAGGATCTGTGAAAGAAGAAAAAGAAATTGCCGCAATTTGTTGTTGTGTGTTTGTGTGTATACAGAAACGAGGTTGAATAATTGCAAAATTAATTTTTAAATCGGCGCTTTGGATGATTTATTGTTTAGGACACGATGGAAGAGAGAACAATCAAACAGGAGATCAAGATAGAATGGGACAATCATCACGCGAGCGAGAATTCGCCTCAGGTGACCGGTACGGATGATCAGACAGCCGGAAGTCCTCAGAGTGTCATCACAACCAGAAGACACGTGAGAACAATCACCACCGCCGGTCACATTACCGAGGGAATAGCCGAGGTCGATCCGGAGTCGCCGGATTCCAACTCCGTAACCGGGAATCTTCATCAGGGTCTTCATCAACAGAGGAACGAGCAACAACACGAACAACAAGCTCCGCAACAAACGCACCAACAGACGCAACAACATTACGTGCAGATATCTCACCCGGGCGCCGAGGATCAGCAACAATCGGCGGATCAGCGAGTCGTTTACGCCACCAGCAACGGGCACGAGGTTCAGCTCGAGGTGACGGAAACCTCCGAGGCCATCACACTCACGGTCAAGGAACCGCCCAGGTGAGAATAATATAATTTTTAGCAGTAAAAATTGAAGTAATTTTTGTAATTAAAAAACGGTCTTGTTAGTATTACGGACGAAAAATTGTTGCCACAGAGAAATTTCTATACGTCGTAGAACGTTCCAAAGAGAATCTGTAAATATTGGGTTTATAGTTGTGAGAAGCGAAAAAAAGGAGAGACACACACTTTTTAGGTGTCGAAAATGCTTTTGTTTGGACACGTTGCGTGATGTAATGTCAATCAATGAAACGTCGATCAATGAAATATCAATCAATGAATTTTTTTAAAACAAGGCCGATACGAGCAGTAAAATACAGGTTGGTCGTGTATAATAAGTTGTCTTTATTCAATAAATATAGACGTTTCGGTCACACAATTTTGGACCTTCTTCAGTATGAAAAAAAAAAAATTAAGTTTAATTAAGAAAAAATATTTTGGTACACTACATCACTCACAGATAGATGAATTAGTTAATACTGAATTAGTACACATTATATCGTTGTAAGTTATTAACATTATTTCATCTATTTCACGGGCGATTGATTGATTCAATCAATGAATTGTTTACTGATCGTTTTTGAGAATCAATTAAGAAATACCTCCCCGTTCAAACAACACTTCAAAATAAATTCTTCGCAAAGATACGAGGCACCCGCGCCGGACAGAACGGAAGTAGACCGGATGTACGGTTATCCCGACAGTCACGAAATCCGCAGGGAGAATCACGTCATCACCGTGGCTGGGGATCGTCGACGAACCAGTCATCAGAGGTTCAGTCCTCACGAGTCCCATCAGTCAACGGGAACGAACGCGAATGCGAGATATCAGGGATCGCCGGTGCTTACCGCCGCCGCGGAGGAATATGACGCGTCGACGATCGTCACCCAAACCGGGTCCCAGGTCCATCTAGGTTCGCCGGCTCAACCGTATTCGCCGCCTATCGAGGGAATTCGCGCCGCGAATCAGCAGCAACAGCTCGTGGCGACGAGCTACGCCGACACCGGCAGCGTCGTCAAGTACGACACCGAGGCCGCCGCGGCCGCGGAAACTATCAAAGCTCCTAATACGTACGCGAATCTGGTGACGGTTACAAATCCGCCCGCGCAGACTATCGAGTACACGCAATATCTGTCGAACAACGAAACTTCGTTCCAACAAGCCCCGACGTACAGTTACCACAAACCGGGAGAGCCTGTCATCTTCGCTTATCCATCGGCGCAGATCGGATCGAGATCCAGCGAGGTATGAGAAAACATTCGACACCTTTCCTTTGTTGTTTAATCTCGTTTTAATTGCGACTCATCGAAAAATCGTCGTTTCTTTGTTTCTTTTCTCGTTTCTATAAAATTAAAAAAAAAAAAAAAAAAAAAAAATACAAAACGCACGAAATATACGATTCGATAGGTGGAGTCACCCGGTAGCACGTACATGAAGAGCGATCCCACGTTAACCTCATCCCTGACCGCCACCCGCGCGGTGCCGCTTTACGAACAACCTGGTTCGCCGAGTTCTCAACACGGATTGACTCTGTACGGTGCGGGATCGTACCAATACGTGAAACCACCCACGTCGGGTGACGTTTACTGGCAAGCCAATAGCACACCCTCGCCTCCAATGGATTACGTTCAGCAATATCAGAATAGCGTAACCGCGATCTCCGTCACCGACGCCAATATGCAACTTTATACGGGCGGATACAGCATTTCGTCGAGCGCGAACGGACCGCCATCCGCGTGGACCAGCATCCCGCTTCCCGGTCCCGACGACGCGTTCGAGGGATCTGTTATGGCGGAACCGAAAGAGTGTGCCAATTGCGCAGCGTCGATGACGCCTTTATGGAGACGCGACGGATCTGGTCACTATCTGTGCAACGCTTGCGGGATTCACAGCAGAATCAACGGCCTAACCAGACTGGGACCAATGAGATGTCCCAAGCCGAAGCAGTCGGTCACGCCGGTAAACATTGTGCGAATCATTGATTTTTTAAAAATTATCTTACACGAAAATTCCGCGCGATTCCGCGCGAGTAACTCGATAACGGTCCGATTTTGTATTTTATATTTTTTTATTTAAAGTTTGCGAGAATCTGCAATAAGACACAATTACAACCGCACAGTCGATTATTTTGTCAATACAATTCAAATGATTACAATTACAACCACACAGTCGATTGTTTTGTCAATACAATTTAAATGACGTAATTTTTTTCTAATTACACTTTAATATTCATCAGATTTCGAGCCACTTGCGACGTGAACCACACAATCTATATTTGTTTTTATTTATTATTTACCGGAATGATCTCCAGTATATAAGAGACGTGTTTGCAAAACAATTTTTATAATATTTTACAAGCGAATATAAAAAAATATAAAAAAAAAAAAAGGTTGAAACGCAGTTTCCGCGACTGTCGCGTCACGGTGTTTAACGGCTACGTCCAAAATCAGCTTTTTTAACCATCGCCAAAACCAGGCCGTCGATATTTACCCTGATAAATTTCTCGCCCACGTAGCTCACGTACACGGCTTCGATATTAAGTAACGTTCTCATGCCCTCTCTCCCTCATGCGCTCTCTCTTTCTCCATCTCCATATATCCTTCTCTCTTGTTTCCTTCTATCGCTACCAAAGACAGAGGGAAGAGGGACGTTATCTCTCACCGAGCGAGCAAATAATCACTACAGGCTGTTGTTTGCTCTAGTTTTCTCGCTCTCCGAGCACACTCCCATTTCATAGTCTCGATTCCTCAAACACCTCATCGTCGACTGATGTCGCATTTAATGTCATCATCGTCACCTCAGAAAACAATCGTTCTCTCTCTCTCTTTACGAAACGCATAAAACGTTTTAATTGCGAACAACACGTCAGCGCGCAAACAAAAACATCGTAAAAAAAAAATGTAATTTAACGTCTCGTTTGGATACAAAGAGTGTGCGAGATCAAGATCGATTTTTCCTTCTCTATCGGCGTCGCGCGTTTGTCACAATTACGCGAACAATTTCTTAATATTTGAATTCTTTTTTTTTTTTGTTTGCTTCGAGTTAGATTTTTTAAGTAACAATTTTATCGATGCGATTCGCATTCACTTTGCAATGACTCGATATTTTGCGTGTTTATGTGAAGCATTTTTTTAATATATACCGCAGACCGGCGTGCGAAGGACGGGGGTTCAGTGTGCAAATTGCAGGACCAGCACGACTACGCTCTGGCGTCGGAACAACAACGGCGAGCCGGTTTGTAACGCGTGCGGACTTTACTATAAATTGCACAATGTAAGTATTTAAAAAACAATTATACAATTATACACATATTATTATTGAATTTTCTCAATTAAATCTAAACAATTTCGTTTTACTTTTAATAAAAGTAGTATCTTGCTTTCTGATATTCTCATTTCAGAAACAAATAAATAAAAATAATAATATATAATTTATTAAAATAATAATAATTATAAAACTAGCAATAGAGGCACCAAAAAAAAATGATCTTTTATAAACATCGATACTTTAAGAAGATCGGTTTTCACTTTCCGTCGATGTTTTTTCAACAACATTCCGAGAACCGTCACAATGTGTCTTCTATTTCTCGCGATATAAAAAAAAAAAAATCCAAGAGCAGCGGAGCAAATTATTTTTAATTAACATTAATCTTGGTTCTGACTGGTCAGCGCGTCGATATCAGTCTTTTTGCGATCGCTGGCCGCGATAACGACGACTTGATTGTTTTTACACACGTGAGACGTCCTCGTCTCGGCGCTCTGAAGAGGAGCGAAGATGTTATCGCGCGCGCGGATCTGTGCAAACGATCGTGACAACAAATTTAATTAAAACATCATGGGATCGATGATGGTTGTACCGAGAATCAATGAAAAAAATGTTTCGTCGTGTTTCGCTCTAATAATCCTTTCGTTAATCGCAAAATTGTAGAAAAAAATACGGCACAACTTCGCGCTTCAACATTTTATATAAAAATTTACTAAAAGCAAATACCGATTCATATCGATTTCTTTATTTCTATTTCTTGTGCAATCACATCAAGTGATTACGCAAGTACACGAAGACACACGTGACGATGTGTACTTGATACACTGGTAAAAAAAATTGAACAACCAGGAAAATTTTATTTAAGCCAACTAATTGCCGCAAAAGTTATTAAATATTCGTTTATTTTGAAGAAATATTTTGTTATTTTAAGATTCCTGCGTAGATTTGAGATAAGATTTGAGATAAGTGTTTCAAGTGACAATTGTGACTAAAAACTATTATAAATAATTGTTTTGTTTGTTTATTACATTGCAAGGAGACAAAAAAAACAAAGTGCAAAATTAACTTGACAAGCGCGAAATGTATGTAGGTGAACAGGCCTTTGAGCATGAAGAAAGAAGGCATACAAACGCGCAAACGTAAGCCGAAGAATCACTCGGGCATCACCGGAAGTCTTCCCGGTCCCAGTATCCACAAGACCGAGATCAAGCCCAGCTTACTCGGTGAGTCTCCGGTGAGCAATTATATATTATACACATCTATTCCTATATATTAACATTGACCATCTCCAGTCTCTCATCTTGACGTAACAAACACGCCGGTACACAATTGCTTCTTTTCAAGTTACAAAAGTTTCAAAAAACTTACTCTCACTTTGGAAAAAAAAAAAAAAAACTAGCAAATAATTTCAAGACGAACTTCTTTTGTTCTTTCTTCCGATTTGCGCGTGTGTTCTCATTTTTACGAACGCTAAACAATTGAGCACTTTTGGCTCGATCCGACTGGGTGTACCTACAGGTGGGGGGGATGAGTATTTTTCGTGGTGAATTTTCCGAGATCAAAAAGAAACGATCAAAAAAAAAAAAAAAAAACTGTCGCGCGGTGTTACTTTTGTGCCGTTGATGCAGAAACAATACAATTCCGCCAGTATCGCGTCTCACGTCAAACAGACGAGCCAATATAACTTCTGTCCTTGTCCATCGATACAATAACGATGGCCGACTAAACACACACACACACACACACACGCACGCATGTGACGGGGATCGGGGGGAAGGTCGAGACGAGAGCACACAATATCCGATAGTGACTCGGATTGGTCAGAGCATCGGGATGGTACTCCGATAGCGCGACACACACGTACGTGTGTGTATGTGTACTCTATTTTTAACGGTGGGATTAATCCCGCGCGGGCAGAGGGTGATGATCACCTTTTCGACACACGGTACATATTCATCGCCCGTGAAATTGCACGGCACGTCGTAAAAAAAAAAAAAAAAATAAACCACTTTGCAATAAAATCGAAAACTTACGGGTTTTCGAGTGTTGTCGTAAAACCGGAAAAAGCAAAGTCTCGGAGGATTAAAGCTGTACGTAACGGGTGATTAATACGAATGTTTAATTCGATTAAAATCGCGTTTTTTTGACATCGCTTCTCCGCGAACTCGAGATAATTATTTCGGTGAAGAATATTTCTCAAAATTATTCCTCACAGCCGCGCAAAATCATTGTCGTTCACAGAAATGACTAACGACGGGGGGGGCATCCGCGTGAATTTTCCACTCGAGCCGAACGCGCTTATCGCTTTAAAAAAAATCAATCCCCGGCCTTGGATCGCTTTCCGTGAGTGACAAAACAAAGATCAAAGTCGATCAATGATCGTATGGGTGCATCGAAATAAGATGCGATCGTCGCGATAAGAGAGCACGAAACCGATCAGTAAATCTTTTTATTACTCGCGCGCATTGATGATGACATACGTCATTGCGAGAAAGAAAGCAAAGCGAAGAGATAAGTCCCTTATTACAAACAGTATAACAGATATGCATCTAAGTAGTATATCTAAATATTACAGAGATATTAAAAAAAAAAAAAAAACTCACACAGTTTATACTATCACAGTTGTAAGCAAATAAATAAATGTGACGAAGAGAAATAATACAAAGAATCAAAAAACGTAAAAAAATCATAACGGAACAGAATAATCGTGACCAATGTCGTCTTTTTTTTTTTTTCTTGACGTTGCAGTGGACTCGGTGCAGTCGAATGTGTACACAAGCGGGGGTGGGGGTAATGGAGGGGTCGAAGAACATTGTTTTCCTGTAGGTACACCAACTGGGGCGCAAGTAGAGCACGCACACTCGCCCCTTACATTACCTACCGCCGCTGTGTTGAATCACCAAACCACCCTTACGTAAGTCACCTGTTCATCTCACTTATAACGCAGAAAAAAACAGAGTATCCCGACGCATTTATAGCAAGCTCTATATTGTTAGACATAAATTTTTGTTACTGGACTAGAAAAATAAAAATAAGGTCGAATAGAAACTAGAGAAACGATTGGAGCGTCTCAATACACTCGTTTCCTTGAGTTTAACTTTTTTTTAACAAAAAAAAACATTTTACGGCCTTGAATTGATGACTAATTGATCTAGATAGTAAAACAAAAGTACTCTCAAGACGCTCGTTCTTTTAATCAAAATTACACAAAAAGCAAAATATATATAAAAATAGAATATAAAAAAGAAATGATATACGCAATTATATTAAATACTTAAGTTAGAGACATTACTTTAATATAATACTTAGAGATATTTTAGTTATATTAACAAACTAATATATGTATATACTTTATGTGAGTTGAAAAAATGAGAAAGTGTCGTAATATAATAATAAATAAATAATTTATTTTCTCTTACAGCGTGCCACCCATAGAGCCAATAACTAGTCAATCCAGTAGCGACCTCGCCTCGGTTATCACGTCAACTACGATTGCTCGTACCGACAGATCGTAGAAATTCTGTTTTTATCGACGGAAGATGTAGATGTTTTACCGAATGTAGCTTAACAAAAAAAATCGAGATTGATCGTTACCTATAGAAAACTATATCGTAATCGTAAAAAGAGCTATTATATAGCTTGTTCTAAGCTATAGATTCTGCGGCGAGGAAAGGGAAGACAGCGTGCACATATTATGTCTGTTCGTTTTACTTGAACTGGCCGCTCTAGGTCAGAGTTTATCTTCTTTACTCTACGTTGGAAAAAGAAGGATAAACTCTGACCTAGAGCGGCCAGTTCAGGTAAAACGAACAGACATATTGTGTTGCTGCCCGTCTCTAGCACTCAAGAGATTCAGATCCTTGGGCTCCATGTTTGTGGAGCCCGAGGACCTGAAAATAATTAAAATCGGCCATCTGTGTAGCCTGGCAGCAAATGCCAGGTTTTAGCATCTCGGTCGATAAAGAACTAGCGGGAGTCGCAGAAGATCTTATAGATCTAGGTGACAAAGACCGGCCCAGTAGTCTCTGAGCGGCCTGAGTGCAGGGGCTTCGAACCCGGAGGTCCCGAGTTCTCGAATCCGCTCACCACCTGGAGGATGGTAAGGATTTTTCCCGGGTCGGGGTCCCCTTCAACCGAATTCATCAGTTGATCGGCGAAATAAATCGGGCCTCCTATAATTAATCGGTCTGGAGGTTCGCAGCCCAGGCCCTCGGGTCTGTGAGTAGAGGTCCCGAGTTCGAATCCTTATCTTCGGATTCTGGCCGGTCCTTCCAGTTTCGGGCACAGCTTCCCAGGGCAGAAAAATGAATTCCTAGGGAGATCGGTATACCTACTGAGATGCGAACTGAATCTCGGGGCTCTAGGGCGGGAGTCACAGAAGATCTTCGCAGATTTAGGTGACATTCTAGAGAGTGATTTTCACAGCCCACCCGCTCCAAACATATCTATCTATCTAGGTGACAATAGAGTCTCTCTCATAAGCCTCCCCCGCTCCTTATTATCTATCTATCAATCTATCTAGACCTGCTACTTACGACTGCATCTTGCGCTTAATGTAGAATGGATTTATAGAGTGTTGAAGTGTTGACGCCGAACTTTACAGAATTAAGTAAAATAAGTGACTGCTATTACCGACACGAGAGAGACATTAACCATGTGCACCGGTGCTAAAGAACAAAAGATAAACAACAAGACAGATATATGAAAAAAGAAATATGCAATGCACTTCGCTTTGCATATTTCTGTTTGTGTTTCTAATAAGAATTCAAATTCTTGTTCGAAGGTCTCATTATGAACCTTTATGCGGCAAGATTCGTCGTAGATAGCCTTTGTTTAGATTCATACTGACGGTCAAGTACAGCTTTACGATTACAGAAATCTGTAATTCAAAACTAGTTTTTGCTTTTTATTATATTTTTTACTATCAGGATTTTTTGAAATGAGAATTTATTTATTCCGTAATAGAGGGGGGGGGTGCGTTTGCATAGAACTCTATGCAACAATAACACGAACGAGAACCATTCGCACAGATATAATCCCGTCCGATCGGACATCTAACGGACGTTCAAATAATTTCCTTGTAACGTCTAGTAAACATTTAACAGAAATTTGTATAAAATATTGTTTCCACATATGAGCACGTAGTATATATAAATTTTAAATAGATAGATAGGTAGATTTGGAGCGGATGGGCTGTTGAAAATCACTCCCTAGATTGTCACCTAAATCTGCGAAGATCTTCTGTGACTCCCGCCCTAGAGCCCCGAGATTCAGTTCGCATCTCAGTCGGTATACCGATCTCCCTAGGCATTCATTTCTGCCCTGGGGAGTTGCGCCCGAAACTAAAAAGACCGGCCAGAATCCGAAGATAAGGATTCGAACTCAGAACCTCCACTCGCAGACCCGATTTAGTTCGCCGATCAACCGGATAAACTCGGTGAGGAAGGGGACCGACCCGGAAAAAATCCTTACCACCCTCCAAGGTGATGAGCGGACTCGGGACCTCCGGGTTCGCAGCCCCTGCACTCAGGCCGCGAAATTACTGGGCCGGTCTTAATTTTAAATAATATATAAGTCTAAATTCTTTCTATATATAGTATTCTAAAAGAGAAAAAAAGAATGATAAAGAATCAAATAAAAAGGCAAGATGAAGAAATGTAGGATTATGTACATATCTACATTCAATGTACAATGTTATATTATATGAGCCGCTCATTTGTCAAATTGATTGACTCAACAAAACGAGAAGTTAGAGAATTTAAGGAAATACAAAAAAGTTAATCATTAATCAAGTGCTTTAACACTTAAATTTGAAAAAATTCAAAAAGTGGAGTTAATCATTTTGGCCTACTTGAATGGCTCGTATGTATTACATATATTGTATATTTAATGTGCTTGCGTCTCTATGACCGCGGCTAATCTCTTCCTGTTACATCTGTGGAGAAAAGATTGTTGCGAAAAATATTTTCTTGATCACACACAGGGCTCTAGAACTTGGATCATTTTTCTCATTGGAAGAACGTTCTTCCGATTCAGCTATAGAGAGGCATTACAAAGATAAATTCTCGCAACAATTTGCTCGGAGTCAGCAGCTAGAAAATTGTCGACTCGCACTCGCAGGGAATAACACAAAAGAGAAAAACTAAATAGTTTTATTATAGAATATTCGTATTTTTTTGCTCGACTAGCTCTGGCATTAAATAAAATTTATATGAGATATTTGTTGATTTAGTACAAAAAATGAAATTTTATAGATATCGAAACGTATTTTGTGCGTTTTCACAATCTTTTGTTTTTTTTTTAGAATAACGAGCGGTTATTTCGACACATCAAATTATGTAGCGTAAATATATCATTTTATTTTCTTTTTTTTCTCTTTTACAGTTTATATCGTTAACTTATTGAAAACTGGTCGCGTCCGGTCCCGAGAATAATTTTACTTTATTGCAGTTCGACTTTTATATGTTCCACTCGACATCGGTAATATTTTATTATTTAGCATTTTGATTGTTTTTCTACTACCTAATTTACATTGATGTTGTTCAAGTACCACGTCGCAGAAAATGCCTGAAATAATGCGTGATGTCAGAAAAAAATTAAAATTACTTATTATATATATGTGTAAAATTATCATATATATATGTGTGTACATTAAGAAGAACTAACAATTAATGAATTCGTATGAATCTTAATTATAGCTCACTTGATTTCTTTCTGTGTTTTTCACATACTATGTAAGAAATCTGGGAGAGATACTCTAGTCCTAGGTATCTCAGACGGCACAATAATATTTCAAAAGCGTATTATATGACAAATATATAAAATTGTACATATATTTCGAACGTTTCATCCGTATTTAAAATATTCGGATTAGATCATTAGACATTGTTTTTTTTCTGAACATATTAAAAACGTTCATTTTGCAGACCAAATTGAAGTCATTAACATTGAACAAATTTAATCAGAAAATTGGTCTACTTGCCGAGCAAAGCCAAAATTAGAAGTTTTGCCTTTAGATCTAATCGATTATATATGTTCAATTGTTTGGTACTTGCAAAAGGAATTTTGTATATTTTAATACATTTTTACTTATTAAAAGACAATTTTTTTTTTAAAAAAACTATTTTGTTTTTAGTTAAGTTTGAACCGACGCGTAGCAAGATGATATATGGCGACCTTAAAACTAGGAGAAAAAAACTTCTAATTATTTTTCTTGAAAAAAATGCTTAAGATCGAACCTCGTGATCCTCGGATTTGCAATTTTTATTTTCAAACAAATTAAATTTTTTACTATAAAATTATAAGTACTTTACACATCTATTTAAATTTACCTAAAATATAGTTAAATTTAACCCAAACTTTTAAAGTAGATAATAAATATATACTTAGTGTCTCGCACATTTTTTTATGCAAAATACGACGCCGCGAGAACATTTCACAACTATTTTCCAAAGAGGACTTTTTTACGGCTATAAGACAGAGATAATTTTCAAGACGTAAAATGTGAGTACATTTTGTAAATGTTGATAAACACGCGGATTTGGTTAAGATAAATAAATAAAGTGAAAATAGAGAAGTGTCCACACCTCTGGCTCTCTTTGGAAAATAAATAAAAAACTCAAGTTTGAACGTCCAGTTGCGGACGTCGTGTGCTGTCTGGGACATTAGTAATAAACAAAAAAACATTTCTCGTGAGAAATGCGAAAACAGCGTTTTCTTTACAGGAAGAAAGCTTGTTGTTGAGAGATGCGGTAAAAATCGAGAATGCACTTTGTGCTTCGCGAAGTTGTCCTCTTTTACTGTCTCTCCATTTTACAGATACATACATATTTATAAATGTACATTCTGCGACCTCTGTACTTACAATTAGTTTATGATGTATGTATCCCTCTGATATGGGTTCGTGCTTACACAATCTTGTAAATACATATATGTATATTACGGTGTTACGTGTGTCTTCATATACATATGTGCGTCTAGATAAATACATGTATGTACACACACACACACACACAGAGAGAGAAAAAAACTGTACATAAAAAATATCTAATAATTTCTTCCAAAGAGTAATATATATACATATGTACACACGTTACATAAATGCGTATTTTGTTTTAAACACATTCATACCGAACATTATCTCTAAACGTCTACATCTTCCAAGACGAGGTTCAGATTCTTTTGATCTCTCTTTAACACTTGTTTTATGTTGTATGTACAATAATACTGATGAGAGATGGTGATGAAGACGGCTTTTCAGAATACTAATAACATAATATAATATATTGTTAATATATACGTATACATATATATATATATGTACTTTTCTATCTTATCGCTGTCTCACTAGAAAAAAAAGCTGCATTTATAAATGAAATTTCTATAGATTATATATGTGAATACATTCAATAAACGTAAATATTATTTTGTCATTTGTTATTCCACCACTCTGTTTAGTGTAAGCATATATGTAAGCATATTATTTTAATTTATAATTATATTTAGAAAGAGAGAGAAAAAATAAACTTTGAAAATTTCTTTATCTAACTGTTTCTCGTTGTAAGTCTGTTTTTTTTTAAATCTCTCTTTGTCCAATCCAACGGTCGCGGATTAACAATCTCACTTCTTTTTTTTCGATTTGCACGGGATAGAAATAAAAAAATGCTAATGCGCGCGCGCGCGCTGCGTTAGAAGTAGAATATACTAGGGATGAGCATATGATATCGATATATCGACAATATGGATATAATTCTTTTGGTATTTGATATTTTAGTATCGATATTCTGTTATTGATAATATCAAAAAAATATCGAGTATTTTATTTGATATTGAATATCGCATTGTTTGATCGGAATTATTGAATATATATAATATATATATTCAATAATTATTAATATTGACAATATCAAATAAAATTATCTCGATATCTTTTTGATATTATCAATAACAGAATATCGATACTAAAATATCAAATATCAAAAAAATTATATCCATATTGTCGATATATCGATATCGTATGCTCATCCCTAGAATATACTACAATGTCAGTTTTTCGTAATTACGCAGAGCGTGATAAAGTGGTGATGAGATTCTCCGGCGCGGGGGGGGCGGGGGGGAATCTTCAGCGCCCGTCATATTTCAACGTACTTTTCTCGCGCAGATAACGCGCAGATAACGCTTGTCTTCGAGCTGCTCTGCGACGTGTACCTCGCACTAATTAACGCGATTTTATCGCGCAAATAGTATAAACGATTTAATTGGCTAGAAGCTTGTGCGGGTCGAGTGCGCCGCGATAGAAACACGCAAATCGCGCGATTTAGTTGCCTCACACGTT